CCCACTCTTGCTGTCTCTTTCTCTCTCTCTCAAAAATAAACACTAATTTTTTTTTAATTAAAAAAAAACTGATAACACAAAATGCTAGTGAGGATGTGAAGCGATGTGAACTTGCATTCACTGCCGGTGGGAATGCCAAACGGTCCGGCCACATTGGAAGATAGTTTGGCAGATACTTACAAAGTTAAACATAATTTTACCATACAGTCCAGTAATCACACTCTGAAGTATTTACCCAATGGAGTTGAGAACTTATGTTCACACAAACATTTGTACACAAATACTTACAGCAGCTTTATTCATATACACCAAACACTGAAGCAAAAGATATCTTTCAAAAGGTGAATGAATACACAACCTGTGGTATATCCATAGAACAGAATATTATCCAGTGGCAAAAAAATAAATGAGCTATCAAGCCACGAAAAGATGCAGAGGAACCTTAGTGGAATATTGTTCAGTGCAAGAAGTCAAGCTGAAAAGGCTACATACTATCTGATTCCACTTAAGTGACATTCTGGCAAAGGCAAGCCTATAAAGACAGTAAAAGGATCAGTGATCACCACTGGTTCAGGGGAGTGGCAGGGTTGAGCAGCTGAAGCAGAGGGGACTTTTAGGCTGGTAAAATGATTCCGTATAATATCATAATGCTGCATACATGACCTTACGCACTTGTTAAGACCCACAGAACATACAGCATGAAGAGTGAACCTTAATGTATGCAAATTTTAAAAGTCACTTAGGTTGAGCGATGAAAGAATGGAGACTTTGACAAGAGAATCTAACTGCACTACAAATGTACAAAAACACCTCACTGAAGGGCGTGGCAGGAAAGGTGCTGACCCCAGGAACTTTGGAAGTGAGCCTGTAAGACTAAACACACACTGTACTCACTTTTTCCTGTCCTGCTGCAGGTGAACAACTCTGATACCGCCATGCATGAAAACTGAATTAAGCAATTAAGTAAATGGGTGGGGGATGGTAGGAGCCACGTTTCTCACTGTTGGACTAGGTCATTCATAGATGACCAAGGCAGGAGGCAAAAATGATCCAGGTGGTACTGGGGTTGGAGACATCGGTAAGAATGTTTAACTTACTGTACATACAGGCAGTTACATATAGAAATGTTTGTAGAAAGGCACCTGGGGGGCTCAGTTGGTTGAGCGTCTGACTTTGGCTCAGGTCATGATCTCACACGGCATGAGTTCGAGCCCCACGTTGGGCTCTGTGCTAACAACTCAGAGCCTGGAGCCTGCTTCAGATTCTGTGTCTCCTTCTCTCTCTGTGTCCCTCCCCAACTCATACTCTGTCTCTTTCTCTCAAAAATGAATAAACATTAAAAAAATTGTCTTAAAGAAATGTTTGTAGATATGCATATATGCAGTGGTTCCTCCCACCCCTCATCTGCAGGGTATATATCCCACGATCCCCTAGGGGACGGTACCAAACCCTATATAGATACGCTTTTTCCCGTACACAACTACCTATGATAAAGTTTAATTTATAAATTAGGCACAGTAAGAGATTAACAATAACTGATAATAAAATAGAATAATTATAACAATGTACTATAATAAAAGCTATGTAAAGATTGTCTATCCTTCAAAATACCTTATTGTACTGTACTCTTCCCTCTTCTCATTATGATGATGTAAAATGCCTACGTGACGAGACGAAGGGAGGTGGATGGCATAGGCATTGTGATGCAGCATTAGGCTACCATTGACCTTCTGGCGATAAGTCAGAAGGAAGATCATTGGCTTCTTTTTTTAAAAAAAATTTTTTTTTCAACGTTTATTTATTTTTGGGACAGAGAGAGACAGAGCATGAACGGGGGAGGGTCGGAGAGAGAGGGAGACACAGAATCGGAAACAGGCTCCAGGCTCTGAGCCATCAGCCCAGAGCCTGACACGGGGCTCGAACTCACGGACCGCGAGATCGTGACCTGGCTGAAGTCGGACGCTTAACCGACTGCGCCACCCAGGCGCCCCGATCATTGGCTTCTTGACTGCCGTTGACCCCAGGTAACTGAAGCCCCAGAAAGTGAAACCAAGAATAAGCTGGGGAGCCTGACTATACAGGAGTTAATATACACACACATATTCCTTTGCTTTGTCTGCTGAGCGGGCGTAGAAGAAATAATACCCCACTTGCAAAAGCATACCTAGTGCCCAGATCTTGATTTCAAATACACTTCTCCAATAAAAGTAACCAAAGGCTCCTAGGAGAAATGGCTGATGATGCAACTGGGTCAGGTAATACACAAGAGGAGCCCAGAGCATCTCGTAGGACCACAACATAAGAAAGTGCTTAGAAAACCCAGGAAACAAACACAACACACTCTTGGGAATATGTCAAAGAGGGCACCAGAGCCAAATGAAAGTGCTCCCAATGACCAAAGCAGGAACAATCTGAGAAATACAACAAAGTAATTTGGATTATAACTCAACATGTATCTATGAGTCCACACTGGTACAATAAATAGGAAAGAAGAAGCAAATCTCCCATGCTGAATAAGTTATGTAGAGACTCCAGGAGTTCCCTACATAAGGAAGAGACAAAGGATGCCCCACTCCTTAGGTGTGGGCTGTGAATAAAACTTCCTTCCAAAAAGTACATTATAGAAAGGAAGGGAAAGGAGTAAATTTACAGTAGAGAAACCTGATAAACATTATCTTGGCCAGGGTATCAAAGGCAACACCAAATCATAACTCAGGTGGATACTATGTACCCTTGATACAATATAGTGAAAAAGTACTTTGCCCCACTGGTTTTACTCTCCAAACCCCACAACCACAGCCTAATTACCAGACAAATTCCAAAAGAAGGACATCCCACAAAAATACCTGACCAGTACTCTTACTAACTGTCAAGGTCACTGGTCAAAGCCCGAGAACCTGCAACAGCCACAAGGAAGGAGCCTTAGGAGACATAACAACTAAATGCAACACACAAATGATCCTAAAACAAAAAAGGTCATTAGGTAAAAACTAAGGGCATACGAATAAAGTAATATGATCTTTCAGATAGTCTCTTTGCCCTAATAGCCTATAAAAAGAGTGGATATTACCCTGTGAGTTTCAGAACACATATATCCTGAGTTTCAGTAATACGAGGATTTTGGAAATTCTAAAGATTTTGTTTGAAATTATTTCCAATCAAGCATTTAGTTCCTTACTTAAGATTAACAGTAGCCCTAAGTTGTGCTACTGACGGACCCACACGTTTTCTAAGCACTTACTTGCCTCTTCCAGACACTGGGGATAATGAGATGAACACTCATAATTGAATGTCCTTCCTTCAAGCAACTGAACTTACAGGAAGACACAGAAATGGGGGGGAAAACCCCACAGCAGTTACACTAGAGTTAGTGTCATAATCTCATCGTCGTTCATGTTACTTGACTTTAAAATAGGGATAATGGCCCACCTGTTAGGATTAGTCTTCACGTGCTTAGAAAAGTGGTTAAAGCTTAAACAAACTTAAAGCTAGTAAACAAACTCTCACCATCCTCAATCCTCATCGCTCACCATTTCTACATCTTGTGGACTTACGCATACTTCTGTATACCACTGTCTGTGTTTTTCCTTAATATCAAGGAGGATGGATTCCAGAGTAGAGCCAAATTCAATGACATGAGATGATAACCCAATTTCGTTATCACAAGTGAAGCCAGCAGTATGCATGGCCACCAATGAACCTTCTGAATCAAGCACTGGGGAGCCAGAAGCCCCAAAGTAAAAAGAGGTGTCATAGGTAATCACATCAGGGCTGTGAGCTATTTCCTCGAAGGTTTTTCGAGTGCACATATGGATGTATTGCATCCCATAACTACAACCCTCTCCCTTTCCAGCCTGAAGATATTCCTCATATTTCTTTTTTCGCTGACCCTGAGAGATCACTGTACAAGCATCACTAGACTTTTCCTCTCCATTTGGATGGCCAATGATGTATATCAACCCAGTAGATGGTGCACGAGCAATTCTACTATAGAGTCCCAAAGGTACTTGTTGTCCGTTTGCCTTCAGTTTCAGAACAGCATAATCAAGGGTGGCATCAGATATCTCAAACCACGGTTCAAGGAAAAAGCAGTTCTCATCTTTCTCGGGGAAGCTGTTATAACGAAATGTCACCCTTGCGCATTGACCAATCACGTCTGCCCACTTACTTGGCTCTATTCCTTTCCCCATGAAGTCACTTACTACGTGTCGACAGGTGAAAATGAACAACTCTTTGAAAACATAGCAGGTGGCACAACCCTTATTTCCATTGTTGTCCCATGACAGGTACCCCACTGAGTTACCGACAAGAGAAAGAAAGTTGTGCACTCTGATCGGGGTGGAGTTTCTCGTCATTTTCCCAAACTTTACTTTAAGTAATTTAAATAATGAGGTTTTGCTCTTTTTACTTTTCATTTCTTTCTTGAAGGTTTCTCTGATTTTTTCGCTTTCTCTTTTCAAACTGGGGTACTGAGCCACAATTTCTTCTCTCAGCACACTGGTGTTTCCTTTCTCTGATTCCGACTTTTGAGCGGCTACTGCCCTGGAGCTCATTCCTTTCTCTACCTCAACCTCAAAGAGCTTGCCTTCCAGGTCGTCCACGGTCTGTGTGCTTTCTAGAATGGAGTCCAGGTTTCTGATGAGCCTCCAATCCTCTTTCTCCAGAAAGGAGAGAAACCTGCCATCCTTGCACAGAGCATCCTTGATGGTTTCTCCTCTGAAAGCATAGACGCAGAGTTTGCACCCTTCTTTGTGAAGCTGCCTGCGTTTGACGATCCTTTTCTTTCTCTTCCCGATTGCGTGAATATAAAATTTGACACAGTCAGCGGATGCCTTTTCATGCCGGCCAAATACCTGGTTCCCTTCTTTCTGCTTACTTCTACTTCGGACAAATGTGATTTGTACATGGCAGCTCTCGGGGAAACAACTGAGGGGCATTCCAAGATTTATGTACCCTTCAATTCCTTCTTTGCCAACCGCCAGCATTTCTTTGCCCTGCTGAGTTTCTATCTCCTCCTTGACAGCCTTGAGAGTGTTGAGGGCCGCATAGAAGCTCTTCTCTTCACTATGTGTGAGCTTGTGTTTCCTGGGGTTTACAGCCAAGGTAATGTAAATTGTCTTGTTGGGGGGCACAGTCTGGTCTTTGGGTCCTAGTGCCTGGATGTTAGTTATATCTTTTGGACCTTTTTTAGAGCCCCTCTTCATTGGAGAAATATTGGAATGACTCTCTTGTTCTTTATTGACCTAAAAATAAATGTGAAATATTTTAAAACTCCGATTACAACCTTACACAAGGAGGGTTAATCAAATACCAGAAATTTAATGAAAAATTAAGAGCATTTGATTTCTGTATCTAAATGATACGTGTTCTATGCATTGGGGCCTAGGGGTCAACAGACACAAGTTTATATGGCAGCAATGCTACTTGCTGATAATGGGAATGACAATGGCAGGATTGTTGTAAAGATTCAATGTAATGTCATGTGTGACAATACCTAACACAATGACCAGCACATTAATGCGTTAACTTTTATTTTCCTTTCGTGATGCTGCTAATATTCTGGATCAGGAGAAAAAAAAAAAAAGGAAC